AATTCTTTTGGCCCCAGGTCTCACGAAACGATTAATTCAATGGAAAAGCTGAAATTGTATTTCTTGAATCAATTTTATTGATGTTGCAGAAACAATATTTTGTCGCTCACATATTTTAGAAAGAACCCGGTTGTACTGGATCCAGCAAACCCCTACAACAACCTAGAACCAAGGGCGAAACACCATTCCCTGGTGATGACCTGTGCCCAGAATGTCCTGCACAGACTAGAGGCGTCTTAGAACTACAGAACTGGGCGCTAGTGAAACAGATCCATTGACGGATGTGGAAATAATTTATAAACTGTCCCGCATATTCCACAACATTTCACTGAAGATTCTTGGTATGCTTTAAAATACATTTGATGCAAAAGGAAAATTGGAACTCAACTGATATCATATATAGGTATTCACCTAAGTTCATCTACGGTTGTATCCAGATGAACTGAGCCTCATATTCAAGCGCAAAAATTATTTGTTTCTTATGCAAATTTGATGCAATGTACATGAGTGCTGAATCCTAGCGATGTCATGTTCGTTGTTGATATTGAATTCCATACAAAGTCCCTTTGCTGTAATTTTAAGAAACCTACGGTTTTCCTATTCATCAAGCCAAAATGCAGATGTAATGGTGTGTTCACTTAGACGTTTTCGATTTGTTTTTACATTTTCAATATATTTATACTATTCTGGGTGTTTTGCTTGTAACGTAGGTTTGATCTATGACCTCGCGATAGAAATATGTATGTAAGTTCGGATAAATTATTTCATTGAGGTAGTTTGATAACACTGTGTAGTATTTATTCAGGTCCTTTCGGTGATCAACTATTTAGGGTTACCAATTGGAAGTGTTCGGGCATCATGTCAGGGGTTGGAATCTCCACTTGGATACAATTTATGAAGCCGTTTATTTTGGATAATGCTGGAATTGTTGAACTGTGCTTCTATCATGGCAATCATATTAAATATAATGATTAATTTGGTGAAATCGCATTGCCAGTCGTTCAAGGAATGTCCCTCCATCTCACTCCATCATACAGACGACATCACAGATATCTGCCCAAATAATTACTCACTCTAATGGTCACTTTCCCATGGAGGATTCAAGATTCTACTTGTGAGAAGATTTGATGGACTAACCTTTGCTGGAAGATTATTCTGGTGGGAAGAGTCACTTTTGTGCACTGGCGTTTACTCTTGCGGTACAGTTGTTATGAACACACAATTCCATTTAGAAAGTGTTCAAATGGAAGAAAGGTTATATTTGGGATAACACTTTATTTGTAAAGTACAGATTCTTGTTTTTGGGGGTGTGGGTGTTGTGTGTTGGAGGGTAGGGTGGGTGAGTCCCGTCCGGCATTCGAACCAACACTGCCAGAGTGAGGCACCTAATCGCCAGAACACAAAGTCAGCGATCTTATCCACTTAGCCACCGAGGCTTCCACAAAAATGAAAGTCCTACAACTGGTAGTCTAGATCACGTACTTTGTGTACCCCTCAGACAAGTGTAAATTGACATGGCTCCCATGGCCGAAAGCTATGAACACACAATGCTATTTAGGAAGTTTACCACAGATTTGGTTCACAAATAATTCACAGGAAATAAATCATACATTTGTCTATGTAGCAGAGTGTTTCCGCAATGTGATGACTTGGGGCATATTTCATGAAACCCTTTACCATAATAGTTTATTGTCGTCAGTAGGTAATGGAGTTTTACATTGTTTTGGGAAGATGAAATAAAAAGTACAAAAAGGTGTAAAAACTGTATTAAAAACATGTTGTATTGGTGGCATTCGTTTATGGTTAATTTTTGGTTTTGTTGTTATGTCAATTATGTTGACATTCAGGTCCATTCTTTATCATTTATCAATTGTGTGATATTCCAACTACAAGTTGAAATATGTTTTTGTTTTCATTCTGGCTTGTTCACACTAAAAGCGGATCGCCTCATTCTGAATTTGGGTATTAAACTTGTTTATCAGGTGACTACGTTTTTATCACTTACGATTGGCTAATTAGTTTCAGTCGTGTGACTTTGTGCACAGGTATGAGGGATGGTATGAACATGACACTGTGAAACACAAGGACGGTCATGTTGTCCCGAAATCTGGGGCCCATACAAAGTCTGTTGGGGAATTTGGGGGCAATGCTAATACAGCTCCAATCACATGTTTGACAAAACTACCTGTGGCAATGCAATAAGCATTTCTATTTATCATGCAGATGTTTGAAGCTGCCTGCATTGTGTTTCACAGATTCGGTGTGAAATATGATACAGTTCATCAAACTCAATTATTGTGATACTCATGATAGAGTGTAGAGTCATTGTATTTTGTTTCTTTTTCAAACTGTTCCCATAGCGTGGCAAAGTCATATGACAAAGCTGGTGTTGCACACAGATTATCACTGGTAATATATCAGATAGTTCCTGTTAAAATAGTTCTGTTGTCTCAGTGAGTGTTTCATAAATATATTTTCATTACAATACTGTTCCCATTTAAATACCCACACTGTAATGATGATGTTATTGAATTTTTTGATGCTTTTTTATAATCAAGATATTTGTCAAGTTAAATAGCAATATGTAATTTTGACGCCTGACATGTGTTCATATTTGTAACGAGAAAATGAAACAGTGTTCCCATCAAAGCTGCTTTTATGATCATGAAATACTGAATGTACTAAATGTCATTGTTATATTGCTACTGATGTCACATGTACAGAATAGCTTAAGATCATACACATGTTCGGGTAAAATATGTTGAGTCTTTTTGTTTTGTTTGGATTGAATATTAATCTGTGGATTGAATGTGTTTGTGTTTACTTTCTGTGAAGTTTTTTATTCGTAATTTTTTAAAGGTAAGATTAGTAGATTTTCAAACTGTGAGCTTACCCAGAAAAAGTATCTACAGAGAGATATTATTGGGCCCATGTTTCTGTTTTCACTATATTCCATACAGTTTTGTCGGTGATATCATTTGTCGTTCTGTTCTGACAACGGTCAGTTGATAATTTTCAAATAATAAAATTTGTATAGATTTAGACATTTTTTTAAAAATGTTGGCCCACTCAGAAAATCCTCCAGAGATAAAAATATGTGGGTCCACATCTCTGTTTGATTCACTTTGATGCTTACAGTTTTGACGGTGATGTCGTTTGTCGTACTGTTTTATATAATTAGATAATTAAGACAATGAAATAGACTTCCTTTTCCTGTCTCAGATAGCACTTCCTTCAACACAATATCCTCTATTTTGTAGATCACAGTCGAAACAGATTATCAAATGATGATTTATGCGACTACAATAACGTACTGTATGGTATAAACAAAATCATTACGGTAAAATGGCCATTATGAAATAATTACGTTTAAATACGAGAGATCATGAGATACAATTCAAAGGCAGATTGATAACTTGTCCAAAAATAGTTTGTCAACAAGCTGATTATATTTGTATGTTTCCTACAATATTTATTTCTTGATTTTATAATGGACAATATTTTTCCATTTTGTAAACTGCTTTGGTACTTATTGGCCGGGGGAGGCCTATTTACATGGATCTTTTGTTGTATATTAATAATCCTGTTCCCTGTTTGCAGCATTTTGGAAATACATATTGTCATAAAAGTCAATTGCCGATGTTTGGAGTCATCATTCCTATTCTTTTAAGATAATGTCAGCAAAGTGTTTGGTGTATCAAAGTTCACTCACAAATTCCGTAAAAGGCGACTTGGTTGATGCATGTCATTACGTCCCATTTGCTTGGATCGATGCTCATAATGTCAGTCACTGGATTGTCTGGTCCGCCGTCATATAGCTGGAATATTGCTGAGTGCGGTGTTAAACAACAAACAAACAAACAAACCTATGAGTATCAAAAACATGAAGTTAATATGTCATTCGCTTCAAATCTGCATGTCGTCAGTTCGCAAGTATGGCATGGCAAAATTTACGACACTATATCATCGTCATGAGTATACCACAGGCATGTGTGCGGCGTTAAACAACAACAAACAAACAAACAAACACACAGTCACAAGTCTCACTCAGTCACTTGCGTATCAACTTTCAACACCATAAACATATCACTTCGGCGAAATCTGACCTAGTTTGTTGCTGTATAAACATACACAATCATCTATACAGGTAGCGTGAGGTTATGCCTAGCTGTGCAATACACCGACCTATATTAGACCCAAACCTCCAGGGCATCGCACACAAGGCAACACAGGGGCGTATTTAATACTAAGAATTGTAATATGTATAGGAGCTATTGAAGCAGGGAGCATCAAAGTGATCACAAAACATATTAAACGTAGCATTAAATATTCACCCCATCACACATCACAAAGAACACATCTGCGTAATTCTGTCGTAACATGTGGCGGATAAAGACGCAATAATGACGGCAGAGCAAGAGTAGCTGTAATGTATGACTAGGGAAAACAGCCAGGACGTAATACAGCTTGAACTACCGCTGAACGTACGTAGGTCATCATTAGACTAATATCTAGTCACTGAAATGAACATATCTGACAGAAAAAACCCCAGGTATTATATTATCTTAAAAGATATAATGAAAGGAGCCCAGAGACTTGCCAATCATTGTAGACTTGCAGGGCTCTATTGGGTGTATTTGTATCAAGGTCTGTGTGACAGAGTAGGTCATTGTTTTCTGTCATCATCACTGGGCCATTCCTTTTACGTGTATTTGTTCGATGTGCTGAATGGTTCCAATTCGTGATGTGTAAGGTATTAATAACATTGTGAAGCACATTAACGAACAAAGGAAAACATCAGCGAGATTTAACATTCAAAACCGCTTTCAAAGAAAACGAAAGTTAAACCATTTCCAGGAAAACCCAGGCCGACACGATAAGGACGAGTTGTGCAATACATCATACGGCACTGTAATATTAGAACGCAGAACACCCACTTACACCATACCGCCATTACAGGAGTCAGAGTAGATCCTATAAGACACTGCTAACATGTAAGTATATCCTACAGAATAATGTCAGCGTGCAAGTACAGGACACTGCCCACATGGCCAGCTGTCGGCACAATGTTGCCCTAAAATCGGATTGTCCAAAACACAGCTTGAATACATAGTGACTGAGAGTAATAGTGGAAATCAATTTTCGATCACGTGTGTGTGTGTGGTGTGTATGCGGATATGAAACCTATGATCGCGGATGCCAACACGATATTCGCCTTGATCGGTTTGCCAGCACGTGGGTAACCCAACCATAGGAAAAAATCAGCGAGGTAGGAACATTCAAAACCGCTTTCCAAGAAACGAAAGTGAAAGCCATTTCCAGGAAAACCCAGGGCGTCACGATTATGACGAGTTGTGCAATAAAACATACAACACTGTAATATTACAACGCAGTACACCGACTAACACCATACCGCCAGTACAGGAGTCAGAGTACATCCTACAAGACACTGCTAACATGTGAGTATATCCTACAGAATAATGTCACTGCACACATGTTAGTATGTCGGCACAATGTTGCCCTACAATTGCAGGAAGGATTGTCTAAAACACAGCTTGAATACATGGTGACTGAGAATGACAGTGGAAATCAATTTTTGAGCGTGTGGTGTGTATGCGGTTGTGAAACCGATAATCGCGGATGCCAGCACAATATTCGCCTTTATTGACATCTCAGCACGTGGGTAACCCAACTATCATATTCCTTCCACATCAAGGGGCGGTCGGGTAGCCTGGTGCTTTAAAGCATTCGCTCGTCACGCCGAAGACCCGGGTTCGATTCGCGACATGGGTACAATGTGGGAAGTCCATTTCTGGTGTACCCCGCCGTGATATTGCTGGAATATTGCTAAAAGTGGCAGAAAACCATACTCACTCAATCACTCCTTCCACATCAAGCACACACACCCTGACATAAGTGACTGGTCATTTATGATAGGGCGGTTGGCCATTTGTGTAACATTGTTTTTATTCAAATAACCTCATCACAGCATTACACATCTGCTAATACGCTTCAAGACACTTACAATGGACCAAGATCAAAAACGGCATGCTGCACTGCTCTACTTTCCATCTTGGTGGAAATCTAAAAAAAAAATATACTCTTGTAGACACACCAGAACTATTCAATCCATACAAATACCGGTAATAACATTTATTCTCATATTTTGATAAATATTCCGTTTTCTTTCTGTTTCAATAATAATTGAAAAAATGTAAGTTGAATAATGTTCAAATGTATGTAAGTATATCCTGCAGAACAGTATCATCACTCTCACATCCTTCCTCCCCTATCAAACGGACACACCGTGGTATAACCCATACACCCATGTGTGAGTGAGTGACTTTACATTTACATTTCATCGGCAATATTTCTGGAATACAGAGACGAGAACACGGTTTTAAAGATTAAACGTCTGTCAACAAAAGACAGTAAAAGAGTCTGTTAAATATCACATATACTGAACATTTTAAAAATTTAAAACATATCTTATCAATGATTTTAGTTATGACTATTACAAATACGTTTTGAAAGCGTATATCGATCGTCTTTGCGCTGGGATCGCTTTGTGGAACGGGGCCCTATTCGTGGATTACTGTGATAAGATCGCGTGCGTGATGCACAGGTGCTTCTCAGGTCAAGTTACTTATAACTCAGTCTGTTTTTGGATCACGAGCCCGTGATTTGGACGGGACGTTGATTTTAACTGTATATATCAAAAGGCGCGTCAACGTAATTTGGAGCAAATCTCACAGTGACGTACAAACATTTCAATGTGGGTCTCTGACGGTCACCACTGACAATGGGGGGATTCGAACCCACGAACATTGGACCCTGTATTTACAATGTCTCTCTGTAAAGGTAGAATATGGGTCTGAACATTTCATTATTGACGAACAGATCAAGTCCCTCGCTTTTATATTATGGTATGTTGATGCTTTGGCGTTGAGGTTTTATATTCCACTTTGGACAACGGAACGCAACTCAATTGTTTAGTAATATTAAGAGGGATCACCTTTGTCAACTCGAAACATCCTTGTACATAATCGTTCGTTTCAACAAAGTAGTGTTGCTTTGTGCGCACTTGTGTTTTGAATTCAATGTTACATTTTTGGGGTACTTTTTGAGACGTTTTAAACTTTTACGGAATAGGAAGTTTTCAAATTTGAGGCATCAGTGACAAAACGATGACCAATGCAATTCCCTACTTTGATTTGTACCATGATGCTCTCGACGTTTATCAAGTGAACGATTTACTTGCCTTTGCATGTGTTTGTGACGGGTGCAACTGCGAAAGGATAGGCTCATCTTTTCGCGAACACCTGGTATCATCACTATTTGATAGTGATTCATAAACACATGCAATGCTACAGTCGGAATGGCACAATCAACTCTGCTTCCAGCAGAGATTCCTTATGATTATGTAAATTGTCTTTGTCACTTTTATTTATACATTTTTAGTTGTACTTTTGGAACCCCATCCCGTTGCGTTCTGTTTCTAATTAGAAACTTAAGTCATTTACAAAATGTCACTGCCCCACGAAACAAATGTTGAAATGACCATAATGCTTTATGACCATAAATTTAATGCTCTTATGTCATCCACTTACTTTAAAATCATACGAGCTAGCAGTCTACGTTTACAAAGCTTTTCGACTTCGTTCATTTCATACAGTCAAAATATTTATTTGTATATATGCAAGTGTATGTGTATGAATGTGTATGGATATGGATATATATGTAAAATAGTCGTAATTCTTTTTTATCCCTCTCTCTGTAAAAAGTTCTGTGTAATAGGCCTACGGCCTAACACTTTTTGTGAATAAACATTTAACAATAAACATAATAACAATAGAAATGATGCTTAAATTAAGTTCACTAATTTGTTTCATTACATTGTGTCAGCCATGTTATAGTCACGATGATGGATGGTAGTTCTGTGTATGATTGTTGCTATACGTAAGCCCTATTCAAACCCAGCAGTTTGAAAATAATAAGGTTGGACCACACAAACCAGTGGTCGATAGTATGAGCAACGTCCCGCTCTGTCGGGATATGTTGAGTCAGAGAGCCTGATCACCCGATCCATTTAGTCGCCTTTCACGACAAACATAGGCTACAAGAAAAGACATATTTTATCCGAGGCCCATGAAGGGTAGAGTTGTTCAAAGAGATTACCGCACATATGGAGGATCCTTAGAGTCGTAAAGGATTGATAGAGGCTCACAAAGTCACCTCCCCTTGTAAACTATTGTCACTCAACACGTTTGCTGATCAATGCGGTGCATATATAGTACAGAGTAGATACTATACGTAAACTGAGAGACACGGGGTCAGCAACATATATAAGGTTTTCTTTTCAACGACAAAATCTTTCGCCAAAGACATAAATATTTAAAGGACTGGTCCATTGTTATTTGGGAGGGGGTCAGGAAAACGTGATGCATTCCTTAGACCAATCCCACCGCCCCCATACCCCTACCATAATAAATGATCAGTCCCTAAAAAGGTCATTTGACGACATAACTAAATCAATTCATAACGACGAACTGACATTGCCTGTACAAAGGTTTTCTATGAAAAGGAAAGTAGAATGTGTAGGGGAAGCGAAAGAAGATTTCTGCGAGAACGATAATCAGTTGTGCGACATATATTATGCTCAACCTTGGAATGCTGTGTTGAAAAGTCAATTATCATCAAAAAGGCTGACAGTGTTCACGTGAGTTGTGGTCCTTCATGATAGTTACATTTTAAACCCTGTCAGGTGTTCGTGGCGACATCTTGTGGTGGACGTTTGTAGAATTATCAGTACCGTGTGTTATGCACCATGTACACCAGCGTCTCATTATCTCACGGTTTCTTCAGCGTTTGGTGTGATTAAAGAAATATGACAAAAACATTAGCAACATGTTTCAATAGTTACGGGAAACGTTGAGAATTATATGACGTGGCTCTATTACCAAAACAACACGGCGGAACAAGATCAATGATAAAATGATGCTTATTGTTTGTAGTGGGAGCTACAGATGAGAGGTATTGATAGACTTGCTGAACAGGATGGAATTGAACCACTGGATCTGTTTTTATTTAGTATTATTGCATATGAATAAATGTTCCTATGTCATATTCATATGACAATATACCTGCTTTTTTATGTAGTATGCAAGTAATGTTCTACCACGTACACGCAATATGTAAGCTTTGCCCGTTAAAGAGCGCGACCCTTTAAATATTAAAGCAATCAAGGTCTGGGCACATTGGTCGTATCCCATTACCCGTGCCTCGTTTGATTTAACTCTTTCTATGTGTCACTTGTTAGGGTTGCGGATTGTCCCTAGCGAAAAGTTCACTTCTACATCTCCGATTGGCTCATCCGCTCGAGGCAAGGGGTTAACTGACTATAAAAGTCCAGTTTCCTACGGACTTTTATAGTTAGTTAACGCCCTTGCCTCGAAGAGATGCGATTGGTTATATATCATTATATTTAAAAAGTCGATATACCGGTCTTTTCTTTGATCACTTACCTGCCGATTAGAATACTTATTACAGTGAACCGTTCAGGCTGCCATTTTGTTTTCCAAAATCTCGTAAATTTGGCGCGCCAGTGTTTCGGGTTAACTACATTTTATATACGGGAAGATGTTACAAGTGCTACAGACATGCTTACGCTCAACACCTGGTCTCATCACTAATTTTCAGCGACCCGCTCACATAATTTTCGCCATTAGTTTGCCTTTTATGTCCAATGGAATCTGTTTCGGCAGAAAATGGTGACTGATTATTCTCTGGCGTTGACGTTTAATGTTACATTGAATATGTTCTAGAGTACGTCTGAGGAGATTTCAGGATGCCAACACACCCGCCGGGTCCTGAGCCGCTCCTGAAGGGGATGAAGCGAGGACAGACCATTTCCCAGTTCATGGCAGAAGGGGTTCCATTTGACATCAATAAGTGTCACGAGTTGATTGAGCGATTAATTCGGTTTCTAAAGGAGAACGTGCCTATCAGTGTATCGAAGGTCGTCAAGGTTGGTGCTCCTCAAATCAGTGACCTACATGTACATAAATATGTGTGTTGTAAAATGAACGAGATGGAGATTTTGTGAACTTGTAATATTTAGTACACGCGGGATGCGGGACGTATTAAGTAGAGCTCAAACCAGAGGCATTCTGTGAAATACTATGCAAGGGACCGACCATTTCATGTTCTCGGGGTGGTGCTGTGGTTTTGTATCGAGATAAGGTATTTGTCAGCTTAAGCTGCACTACCAGTAATATTATTTTGTTTATTTAAAACTATGAGCCTGAATCTGTTTTAAAGACTCACACCTTTAACAATGTAATTTCTGTTGTGGACAATTTCTTTTTTTCTACTGCCTGACGCACATTTATCTGTATCCAGAATTTTAGCACGACTTCTCGGGGACGGTTTAAAAATCCCCCCCCCCCCCCCCCCCCCCCCCCCCCCCCAACACCTATGACAGTGGCAAAGGTCGTCGAGGCTGGTGCTCCACCAGTGACATACATGTGCATGATTGTTTAAAAGACATCACACATTGGATACATGATCTAACAAGCGGATGACAGTGCTAGCCTTTCATAACTGTGGAAACCTGTTCACATTTTAGTGTTGCCGTGTTGTGAATACATACAGTAAACTACGTTTATAACGAACACGGTTATAACGAACTGACGGATATAGCGAACTTACTTTTTTGTCCCGACTATTTGCTGTAGTTATGCTGTATATATGCTTATAACGAACTTCCTTTATAACGAACTAAAATTAGTGGTCCCTTTGAGTTCGTTATATCCGTAGTTTACTGTAGTTCGTACAAACGCATTTCTAAACGAGTTCTCATTGGAAATACTGTCACTTAATGCACAATGTATTTTTCAGGGAGGATGTATAGGAAAGAACACATTAGTATTCACCCCCTGCAATGTGGATCTGTACGTGTTCATCAATGACCTCAGCTCCGTGCAGGATATGAAATTTAAAACTAGACGCATCCTTGACATTATAAGAGCCAAGTTGGATTCTTCTGAATTTGTTCCTCGCTATGGGGTTATAGAGTTTATTGACTATACACCTCACTCGATGACATTCCACCTGAACTGTCAGGATCTGGGCCAGCAACACATCATGGAAGTATTCCCTGCATTTGACGTCTTGAAATGTACGTATACATTTAGGTATTTATGCGTCAAGTCTTTCTCAAGAAACTTTCTTTGAGATCCCAAAACGTTTGCCTACATGCATGGTCATACAATAAGAGAACATGTTTAACTGTTCAAATACTTTATGGTAAAGACCTCTGTATGTTTGTATCATATTAATATCAGTAATTCCCTACGTAAATCTGGTTTGACGGCCGCATCACCACGGAAGCTAATATTCATTGAATATTGTCGGTAGGCATAATTAAATAATAATACCTACAATTACAGGTTACAAAATGCACAGATGCGGTTACTACAATATTCAAAGGATGTGTGGCAATATATTTCGGGCAGAAAACACGACAGAAATCTACAAAGGGAATGTATTTACGTTTAGGAGACAACAGAGAGCTTGGAATTTTGGCGCTTTTCTATATACGACTGTGACGTCATATCTTTTGCGTTACAATGAGCGATTTAACGTAATAATGATGACGTGCGATGTAGAGCGAAAGCCTTGCAAAGCTTGCTCTGTTTTCTTTAGGGATGCCCACCTCATGTTAGCTTACCAAGTTGCCGTGCTTCTATGCTTTCAAGGCCTGTCATATGTTCGAGTGAAGTATTACGGTTTAAACAAACTGCTTGAGTATATACAGCGCCATATATTCAGTGATTCCGTAATTCAGATCGATCACCCACTCAAAACACTGAACTCAACCCATGCCGCTTCACTCAGTATATTTGATAACACCAAAGAGTTCGCGTTTTATTTAGTCATGGTAGAATGGAGATAAACATACTGTGTTTTCAATGTAAATTTAACATTTAAAACCCCACGCTGCACGTTCGGTTCCAAATTCAATTTAGCGGGGTTAAATCTACAGGTAACCTAGCTCTTCATTGAAAACACAGTATGTTTATCTCCTCAATATACACCACAAAGTGTTTGCGTGGACATTAGTTTCAGAGTGGGGCATTGCATGCTTGAACATAGGGCACACTGATTCATCGGGGTGAGTAGTCCTCGCGATCGGCCATTGTTTCCTGGACTGGATGTCCCAGGACATTGGGTACTGACATCATTGTCTGGGACTACTCGTCCTTGGATACTGTGGCATCCATGACACCGCGGACGGCATAAAGTGTTATCACCAGATATAAATGTTGTATTTCATCACTTCATACATAAAAATAAAGTTCGTCATTCATTCATCAATCATTCGATATTAAAAAAAATACTGTAAATTAAAGGTTTACAGTTCAGTAATATCTCTGCAACACGAATTTGTGTAATCCTGATTGAGCTTAAATCTCCTTCGTAATATTATGACTGCTTTTATACACCCTCGTCGATGTTCTTTCCAGACAAGAACGTTCACGACGTGTACATGGACATGAGTGAACTTCCTGATGCTGACAGAGACTGCTACTCCGTGTGTCTGGCAGAAATGCAGATAGACTTCATCAGACAGGCGCCGACCAAAGTAGGGTCTCTCATTAAAATTATGAAGTACTGGCTGAAGGTACGAAAATTCTGTCATACGAAAACGTCAATTGATGCTAAAACATACAATCATGTTTGGGAATGAGTTGTGTCTGCTCATGGTTACCTGTTGGACAAACTTTATTGTACAATAGTTTCAGAAATCGGAAATAGTCTAATAATTGGCATTAATACAGCATTATCCATATGCATAAAATTTCAGTCAACAATAAGGTGTACAGAGAGAAACATAGAGAATAAAGAACCCTACTTCCATTTTTAAGATCCGCGTGGGTTTGCTTTGGGATCTGAAGAAACTTACTTGATTATGTGCAGAATTCAATTCCAATTGCTAACCATTATCACGTCTTTTTACTTCAACTGCCAACAGGAGGAGGTCAACGTGGATGTTAAGATCACCAGCTACTACTTGATGGAGCTTCTGGTCATGCACAGGTAAGCACACAACATTAGTTACTCACTACCAAATTGGCCCAGCTGTGATGCAAGGTATAAATAATCGTATTTTTTATTACAGAAATCTCGAGCTCTTGCACGGGAGATAACAACTATTAGATTTTGCGTGTGTTAGTGTGTAATCGTATGCAAGAGAAGGATTTGTTTAGACGTAATATATCCACAATTGCCATACTGACACTCACATTTGTACATGACAAGTATTAACTTACGACAAGCATGAGTTGCTGAAAACCAATTCTAACCCGGCTTTTTTACGGTGCAGCTACATGTAAGTGAACATTCACATATGTTATGTAATGTACTTTATGTAATGTGATTCAAATATTTATGCCAGTATCAGCAACGTTTGCAGGATGAAGTAAAAGAAATCGCAAACCAAAATACCTAGATGGAAATGTTACGAAGAGTTGTTATAATGAATTGGTGTTTGTAAGCCTTAAGTAAATAAATGCATAACTGTCAATGTTAGCAAATGAGTGTTAGGCTGATGGACAACATTTCATGGTGGGATACATTAAGGAACATACATTTACAGATGGCAGCGGGCTGGACAACCAAGCGACTTCGACATGTTTGACTGGTTTGAGGAGATTATGATCCAGTTGTATGACCTAGAGTCTCTTGGTATCGAGTGGGAGAAGAAGTACACTACGACCAAGTACCGAGCTATCCCGTATGTACAACTTTCTGTCAGCAAGTGCATCGTCACATATCTATTTCATCAGCTTTAAACGTTGCTAAAAGAGATATTAAACCTAAATATAGACGTAAGTACACAAACTAGTTAGTGTGCGAGTGATGACTGTTTAACGCCTCATCAACACTTTTGCAGCTATCCATGGTGATTTAAATAAGTGAAGACCAATGAACATCAGGACATTTACATCGGTGTTTAAGACAGATATTAACCCTAACACCCTATCAAGATTTATGTTTGACCAACACCCAGGACACTGAAAAGACATTGAGTCCAAGAAATAAAACTCACACGTGGTAAGAAGTTAAAGTGATAATATTCCATGTACTCATTCTCAAAATGATTTTTTTACACCTCATGTATTTATACAGCTGGTTTATATTTAATTCATTTAACACTACAATGTCAAAGGCAGACAGATTCAATCGGGCCTGGTTAGGATGTGAAAAGGGTAGGTCTTGCTCTTTCCAAAGAGCCAGAAAACCAGACCCTCTAAGCACACTAACTGCATTTACACTTACGCAGATACCATAGCCAAAGCCATCCTCATTTCAACTCATGACATTTTTATTTCATGGATATCATCTATGACAAAATGGCGTTACTAGGGTACTGTTGGTATACTATGTTGCACAATTCTGAAGAGACATTGATTACATTTCAGACCTCGACCTTTCGTCATGGATCCAGCAAACCCTTTCAACAATGTCCTTCCAGAGCCCAGATACCGCCAGCAGTTGATGCGATGTGCTAAAGCAGTAGTCGGTCGTAGCCAGGCCCTCAGGAAGTACCTGAATCACGGCTCCGCGCCCATCATTGAAGGCATGGGTAGGAGGCAGACACTGCAGCAGTTCGTTCAGGACACCATACAGCCGAGCAGTGACTTCCGCCAACAGTGTGACCGTGTCGTGGAGCGTGTCACGTACTTCCTGCAACATCACACGACACTCAGCGTCTCAATGGTTGTCAGGGTAGGTTTGGTTTGGTTTGCACTATCCTCATGCTAGGTGAAATTGGAAGCTCACTATCAAACCAAACCGCGGACAATAGGTTTGGTTTGGTTTTACGAACCTTGAGGTTAATGAGCATTAGCGACAGCTACCCCAACACACACACACCCCCCTCCACAAACACACACACACACACACACACACACACACACACACACACACACACACACACACACACACACACACACACACACACACACCTCGGGTAGTTTCTATTCCGTGCTGTGTGTTTTATAAGGACATATTTCCTTCCCGCTCAACAGGGAGGTTCACTGGGAAGGAGCACGAATGTTCATGGAAAGTCGGACGTCGATCTGGTCGTGTTCATCAACGATGTCAACTCGATCCAACAATTGGAGGCCAAGATGGACGCCATCCTGGACATCTTGCACAGTGCGTTTGAAAAAAGTTGGACAGAGTTTGCAGGAACGCTAGAGTTTGCGGGCCGATCAGACCGCAGTCTGCAGTACAAGCTTAGCTGTGGTGCATCTGATCACATCCATGATGTCGACATTCTGCCAGCTTACAACATCCTGGGAGGTGAAACACAGTGTTGTTATTGTACTGAAATCTCAGTAACTAGATGTCACTTTCTATTAACCCATTCTATCTATCATCAACTGAATCTTTCTGAACTAGAATTGATCATACTGTCAGGTTGTTAAAACTCTTTCCCTGAAGTCTGGATAACTCGGATAGCCCTGATAACTCGATATATATTGGCCGCATGTACTAAAGATTAAATAGGTTTCGGAATTATTTCCTTTCAGTTAAAACGTGTTTGGAGGCGTTCAACGAGATGAAAGACAAGACTGAGAAACAAAGGAGATTCTACTCACCGTGCTTCATTTTGGAACAGCAGGAATTGGTGAAAACAGCGACTGTCAAAATCAAGAATCTGGTGCGACTTGTGAAATACTGGGCGAACGTAAGACAATCAATATTATTTTAATGTAACAACAGTAAAATGTACTACATGTCGCTAACTCCGTGATGCTTCCGAATTTTTTCTGTCATTTGGGCGTTTAACTTAATTAAACAATTAATGAGCATGGACGCCATGACATGTGTGCAGGTATGTGTTTCTGGCACCTTAGGTCTACTCAAATTTTAGCGACATTTAAGTAATTCAGTGAAAACCCCAAGCATTAATTAAATTATTTGATCTATTAGAACCTGTGAATCTACCTACATGTACATCTCTCATTTATACGTTCCTATGCACTGCTCCCCGTGAAGAGAGAAGTCAACAGACAAGGGAAAGTTATGAGGTCATTCTTCCTCGAGATAGTAGTTATCTCCCTTTGGAAGAATCGTAGATCCCCGTCTGACTTCAACACCAACGATTGGTTCAAGGACGTCATGACCCAGCTGGCCGATCTGACGTCACTGCGGATACTCTGGCCTGAAAGATTCAACGTGGCCTTGTACTATGACATTAACGAAACGTATGTGGTATCTTGTCTCTTATTTGAATGTAGTTCCCGACCATATGTGGTTCAACCACTAACATTCACCCACCATAATCTGATATTTCTGGAATATTGAAAATAATGAAAATAAAAGTGTTTTGGCCCCAGGTCTCACAAAACGAATAATTCACTGGACCTGCTGAAAAAATGGGCCCACAGAAAGTTTGTGGTTCGGATAAAACAAATTGCATTTCTTGAATCAATTTTATTGATGTTGCAGAAACAACATTTTGTCGCTCACATATTTCAGAAACAACCCGGTTGTACTGGATCCAGCAAACCCCTACAGCAACCAAGCACCTTTGGCGAAACACCACTCCCTGGTGATGACCTGTGCCCAGAATGTCCTGCACAGATTAGAGGCATCTCTGAAGTACAGAACTGGGCACGAATGAAACATATCCATTGACGGATGTGGAAATTATTGATAAACTGTCCCGCATATTCCACAACATTTCACTGAAGATTCTTGGTATGCTTTAGAATAGATTGGATGTTAAAGGAAAATTGGAACTCAACTGATATCATATATAGGTATTCACCTAAGTTCATCTACGGTTGTATCCAGATGAACTGAGCCTTATATTCAAGCGCAAAAAAACATTTGTTTCGTATGCAAATGTGATGCAATGTACATGAGTACTGAATCCTAGCGATGTCATGTTCGTTGTTGATATTGAATTCCATACAAAGTCCCTTTGCTGTGATTTTAAGAATCCTACGGTTTTCCTATTCATCAAACCAAAATGTAGATGTAATGGTGTGTTCACTTAGACGTTTTCGATTTGTTTTTACATTTTCAATATATTTATACTATTCTAGGTGTTTTGTTTGTAACGTAGGTTTGATCTATGACCTCGCGATAGAAAAATTATGTAAGTTCGGATAAATTATTTCATTGAGGTAGTTGGATAACACTGTGTAGTATTTATTCAGGTCCTTTCGTTGATCAACTATTTAGGGTTACCAATTGGAAGTGTTCGGGCATCATGTCAGGGGTTGGAATCTCCACTTGGATACAATTTATGAAGCCGTTTATTTTGGATAATGCTGGAATTGTTGAACTGTGCTTCTATCATGGCAATCATATTAAATATAATGATTAATTTGGTGAAATCGCATTGCCAGTCGTTCAAGGAATGTCCCTCCATCTCACTCCATCATACAGACGACATCACAGATATCTGCCCAAATAATTACTCACTCTAATGGTCACTTTCCCATGGCGGATTCAAGATTCTACTTGTGAGAAGATTTGATGGACTAACCTTTGCTGGAAGATTATTCTGGTGGGAAGAGTCACTTTTGTGCACTGGCGTTTACTCTTGCGGTACAGTTGTTATGAACACACAATTCCATTTAGAAAGTGTTCAAATGGAAGAAAGGTTATATTTGGGATAACACTTTATTTGTAAAGTACAGATTCTTGTTTTTGGGGGTGTGGGTGTTGGGTGTTGGATGGTAGGGTGGGTGAGTCCCGTCCGGCATTCGAACCAACACTGCCAGAGTGAGGCACCTAATCGCCAGAACACAAAGTCAGCGATCTTATCCACTTAGCCACCGAGGCTTCCACAAAAATGAAAGTCCTACAACTGGTAGTCTAGATCACGTACTTTGTGTACCCCTCAGACAAGTGTAAATTGGCACGGCTCCCATGGCCGAAAGCTATGAACACACAATGCTATTTAGGAGGTTTACCACAGCTTTGGTTCACAAATAATTCACAGGAAATAAATCATACATTTGTCTATGTAGCAGAGTGTTTCCGCAATGTGATGACTTGGGGCATATTTCATGAAACCCTTTACCATAATAGTTTATTGTCGTCAGTAGGTAATGGAGTTTTACATTGTTTTGGGAAGATGAAATAAAAAGTATAAAAAGGTGTAAAAACTGTATTAAAAACATGTTGTATTGGTGGCATTCGTTTATGGTTAATTTTTTTTGGTTTTGTTGTTATGTCAATTATGTTGACATTCAGGTCCATTCTTTATCATTTATCAATTGTGTGATATTCCAACTACAAGTTGAAATATGTTTTTGTTTTCATTTTGGCTTGTTCACACTAAAAGCGGATCGCCTCATTCTGAATTTGGGTATTAAACTTGTTTATCAGGTGACTACGTTTTTATCACTTACGATTGGCTAATTATTTTCATTTATGTAAATTTGTGCACAGGTATGAGGGATGGTATGAACATGACACTGTGAAACACAAGGACGGTCATGTTGTCCCGAAATCTGGGGCCCATACAAAGTCTATTGGGGAATTTGGGGGCAATGCTAATACAGCTCCAATCACATGTTTGACAAAACTACCTGTGGCAATGCAATAAGCATTTCTATTTATCATGCAGATGTTTGAAGCTGCCTGCATTGTGTTTCACAGATTCGGTGTGAAATATGATACAGTTCATCAAACTCAATTATTGTGATACTCATGATAGAGTGTAGAGTCATTGTATTTTGTTTCTTTTTCAAACTGTTCCCATAACTTGGCAAAGTCATATGACGAAGCTGGTGTTGCACACAGATATCACTGGTAATATATCAGATAGTTCCTGTTAAAATAGTTCTGTTGTCTCAGTGAGTGTTTCATAAATATATTTTCATTACAATACTGTTCCCATTTAAATACCCATACTGTTATGATGATGTTATTGAATTTGTTGATGCTTTTTTATAATCAAGATATTTGTGAAGTTAAATAGCAATATGTAATTTTGACGCCTGACATGTGTTCATATTTGTAACGAGAAAATGAAACAGTGTTCCCATCAAAGCTGCTTTTATGATCATGAAATACTGAATGTACTAAATGTCATTGTTATATTGCTACTGATGTCACATGTACAGAATAGCTTAAGATCATACACATGTTCGGGTAAAATATGTTGAGTCTTTTTGTTTTGTTTGGATTGAATATTAATCTGTGGATTGAATGTGTTTGTGTTTACTTTCTGTGAAGTTTTTGATTCGTAATTCTTTAAAGGTAAGATTAGTAGATTTTCAAACTGTGAGCTTACCCAGAAAAAGTATCTACAGAGAGATATTATTGGGCCCATGTTTCTGTTTTCACTATATTCCATACAGTTTTGTCGGTGATATCATTTGTCGTTCTGTTCTGACAACGGTCAGTTGATAATTTTCAATTAATAAAATTTGTATAGATTTAGACATTTTTTTAAAAATGTTGGCCCACTCAGAAAATCCTCCAGAGATAAAAATATGTGGGTCCACATCTCTGTTTGATTCACTTTGATGCTTACAGTTTTGACGGTGATGTCGTTTGTCGTACTGTTTTATATAATTAGATAATTAAGACAATGAAATAGACTTCCTTTTCCTGTCTCAGATAGCACTTCCTTCAACACAATATCCTCTATTTTGTAGATCACAGTCGAAACAGATTATCAAATGATGATTTATGCGACTACAATAACGTACTGTATGGTATAAACAAAATCATTACGGTAAAATGGCCATTATGAAATAATTACGTTTAAATACGAGAGATCATGAGATACAATTCAAAGGCAGATTGATAACTTGTCCAAAAATAGTTTGTCAACAAGCTGATTATATTTGTATGTTTCCTACAATATTTATTTCTTGATTTTATAATGGACAATATTTTTCCATTTTGTAAACTGCTTTGGTACTTATTGGCCGGGGGAGGCCTATTTACATGGATCTTTTGTTGTATATTAATAATCCTGTTCCCTGTTTGTAGCATTTTGGAAATACATATTGTCATAAAAGTCAATTGCCGATGTTTGGAGTCATCATTCCTATTCTTTTAAGATAATGTCAGCAAAGTGTTTGGTGTATCAAAGTTCACTCACAAATTCCGTAAAAGGCGACTTGGTTGATGCATGTCATTACGTCCCATTTGCTTGGATCGATGCTCATAATGTCAGTCACTGGATTGTCTGGTCCGCCGTCATATAGCTGGAATATTGCTGAGTGCGGTGTTAAACAACAAACAAACAAACAAACCTATATATGAGTATCAAAAACATGAAGTTAATATGTCATTCGCTTCAAATCTGCATGTCGTCAGTTCGCAAGTATGGCATGGCAAAATTTACGACACTATATCATCGTCATGAGTATACCACAGGCATGTGTGCGGCGTTAAACAACAACAAACAAACAAACAAACACACAGTCACAAGTCTCACTCAGTCACTTGCGTATCAACTTTCAACACCATAAACATATCACTTCGGCGAAATCTGACCTAGTTTGTTGCTGTTTAAACATACACAATCATCTATACAGGTAGCGTGAGGTTATGCCTAGCTGTGCAATACACCGACCTATATTAGACCCAAACCTCCAGGGCATCGCACACAAGGCAACACAGGGGCGTATTTAATACTAAGAATTGTAATATGTATAGGAGCTATTGAAGCAGGGAGCATCAAAGTGATCACAAAACATATTAAACGTAGCATTAAATATTCACCCCATCACACATCACAAAGAACACATCTGCGTAATTCTGTCGTAGCATGTGGCGGATAAAGACGCAATAATGACGGCAGAGCAAGAGTAGCTGTAATGTATGACTAGGGAAAACAGCCAGGACGTAATACAGCTGGAGCTACCGCTGAACGTACGTAGGTCATCATTAGACTAATATCTAGTCACTGAAATGAACATATCTGACAGAAAAAAAAACAGGTATTATATTATCTTAAAAGATATAATGAAAGGAGCCCAGAGACTTGCCAATCATTGTAGACTTGCAGGGCTCTATTGGGTGTATTTGTATCAAGGTCTGTGTGACAGAGTAGGTCATTGTTTTCTGTCATCATCACTGGGCCATTCCTTTTACGTGTATTTGTTCGATGTGCTGAATGGTTCCAATTCGTGATGTGTAAGGTATTAATAACATTGTGAAGCACATTAACGAACAAAGGAAAACATCAGCGAGATTTAACATTCAAAACCGCTTTCAAAGAAAACGAAAGTTAAACCATTTCCAGGAAAACCCAGGCCGACACGATAAGGACGAGTTGTGCAATACATCATACGGCACTGTAATATTAGAACGCAGAACACCCACTTACACCATACCGCCATTACAGGAGTCAGAGTAGATCCTACAAGACACTGCTAACATGTAAGTATATCCTACAGAATAATGTCAGCGTGCAAGTACAGGACACTGCCCACATGGCCAGCTGTCGGCACAATGTTGCCCTAAAATTGGATTGTCCAAAACACAGCTTGAATACATAGTGACTGAGAGTAATAGTGGAAATCAATTTTCGATCACGTGTGTGTGTGTGGGGTGTGTATGCGGATATGAAACCTTTGATCGCGGATGCCAACACGATATTCGCCTTGATCGGTTTGCCAGCACGTGGGTAACCCAACCATAGGAAAAAATCAGCGAGGTAGGAACATTCAAAACCGCTTTCCAAGAAAACGAAAGTGAAAGCCATTTCCAGGAAAACCCAGGGCGTCACGATTATGACGAGTGGTGCAATAAAACATACAACACTGTAATATTACAACGCAGTACACCGACTAACACCATACCGCCAGTACAGGAGACAGAGTACATCCTACAAGACACTGCTAACATGTGAGTATATCCTACAGAATAATGTCACTGCCCACATGTTAGTATGTCGGCACAATGTTGCCCTACAATTGCCGGAAGGATTGTCTAAAACACAGCTTGAATACATGGTGACTGAGAATGACATAGTCTGGTCATTCTGTAATTTAACCTCAAGAAAATTGCAACAGAATATTTTACGACGGTTTCCTTTTAATTCAATGTATTTGAGTTTGTACTAAAAAGTCTACCAAAATCAACCTTCGGGAAAATGGTTAATTCCCGCATCAAAAAAGATAAAAACCAACGAGGAGAATATGGCATATACGGGTCGCCGTACACCAAGAAGAGCTCGCAAAGGGAGATAATTCGTAGTGATCCTGCTAGTGCCTTGGAAAATATTCAGGAAAAAAACAACGATAACGGAGCCGTATTATTTCATGGTAAGTTGACAAATACACATTTATTTAAAAATGTAATTAATAATGATGAAAATAATAGCAGTTGGCTTCCAATATACTTCTAACATGCCCATCAACCATAAATTGTGTAGCGTCGTCTGCTATGTAACTACGGCCGCACCAGCAGAGAACATGTATGTTAAACACGACCGATAACCATATTTCTGTCTTTTATAAATTCATCCAACATTGTTACAATTATTAGAAACATAATTATGTGAAAAATTATATCGAAAAGTGGACCCTCCTTGATAAAATAAAAAAAATGTATGGAAGCCCATGAGTGACATGATGTATAATCATTTGCGTAATGCGTACGTAATTTGCAATTCATTAAATTCATTACGTTTCACAACCAATCTTGACAATATTGACATCGGAACAAGTTACCTATTTCTAAAACACCCGATGTTGACATTTCTCGTCTTGAGTGCATTTGTTTTACTGTTTAAAGTCACAAAATTAACTTTTTTTTGTCTGGGAAATTGGTGAATAAAGGAAACAGGAAAATTCATCAAATGCAGATGTAATTACTTGAAATATATAGGAATTTAAACAACTTTACTCTCTTTTGGCACGATGCTGTAAGACATTTTTCTTCTTTCAGAATTACGGCTACCATTCTTGAACGGCATGATCTCAGACAACAGCGCCAGTGGATTCTGTCTCCGTTACTTGAAACTAAATTTGTAGCAGGAGTAGACCAAATACTGTCCCCAAAGATTGTTAGGAATACAGCGAGGCACTTGTGTGTTTATTCGCTGAAGGCCCGGGTTCGATTCCCCACATGGGTGCAATGCGTGAAGCCCATTTCTGGAGTCCCTCGGGGCAATCTCATTAAAATCAGATCTTTGTACTCGCTACCGCCAAACAAAGATCTGAGGACATCCCATTAGGGGTCGCGTCAGAACGACCTTTCATCCGACCAATCAGAGCGTCGCTTACCAGATCATGAAAGTGACAGTCGGAACGTGTTTTCTAATCACGCAACCACGAAATATTTGACACTGGGTATTCCGAACGACAGTTACGGGATTTATGATTATATCCATACAATCTAGGCCATCTATAAGCCATTCCAAAGGTGTTCTTCTTATCAGTTTTAATTTTTTTAATCGAGAATACGTCAAAATATGTTTCGAAGCGTAGTCGCCAGTTTGAAACTAGTGTCGTAAAGCTCGAGAAAGCTGCCTTCTGATTGGCTAATGTCGATTTCTTGTCAGTCATTTCCTTGGTCGGTCAAAATTCGAGAAAGGTCGTTATGACGTGACCCATAATGGGATGTCCTCAGATCTTTGTTTAGCGGTAGCGATAACTAAGATCTGATTTTAATGAGATTTCTCTCGGGGGCACGGGTGGCCCAATCGTCTAAGGCGCCGCGATTCGCTGTGCAGAGTTGCGTCCCTTGGGCACCCCAGAAACCTATGATTGTTGGTTCGAATCCCGGTTCGCCCCGATTACGTTTCTAGGTTTGTCAGCACCATACCCGTGCTCGTGGGTTTCACCGAAGAGGTAAACGTCTAAGACCTGCATCACTTCGGGCTTTCCTTCCACATTCAGCTGACACACCGTGATATAACTGGAATAATGTCAAAAGCGGCGTCAAACCCAACTCACTCACTCAGGTGTCCCCCGCCTTTATATAACTGGAATATTGCTAAAAGCGGCGTAAAACCATACTCACTCACTCACTTGAGCGTTTGCCATATTGCTATGCTATGCAATAGTCTATGATTATCTTGTACTTATACTCAAATTGAATAGATTCGCTCACTAAAATAAATGAATCTATAGTCAGTATAGCCTGTGTTCACTCAGCGTATCAGCGACAGTTACAGATAACCGGCTGACATGAGTTTCGCCGGGGCCCCTTTCACCAGAATAGACTATAGTCGGCCAACTACCCATGCCTTACCAAGTTCCAGTTCTTTATGATATGAACATATTTATTTCCATAAAGTGGAGGGATTGGCAAACAAGCAAATTTTGCTTATCTGAATGCCTCTCCCAAACATGATACACATACAAGTTACAATGTATTAAAGTGATATGAGAAATAGCATACATGATATAATTGACATTAAAGATGATTATTGTTCTGTAAGTGTTTTATTACTGGATTATCTTTCGAAACTACAGCTACGTTATATTATTTACATCTAGCACAACATCACAGTATCATATATACTCGCCGTAAAAGGCGACTGTGCTTGTCGTTAAAGGCGACTACTAACGGGATCGGGTGGTCAGACTCGCTGACTTGGTTGATGCATGTCATCGATCCCAATTGCGTGGATCGCTGCTCATGATGTCAATCACTGGATTGTCTGGTCCAGACTCGATTATTTACTGGCCGCCGTCATATAGCTGCAATATTGCTGAGTGCAGCATTATACAACAACAACAGAATTAACTTCTGAAATATGCAACCAATATACTTACTTAAACGAATGAGTGTTCAACTATCAGTAGTTGTGAATAAGCATCGGAGTTTATAAAAGTTGGGATTTATACGACAATAGTTTGGTAATAATTTTCTTTCAAATCTAAAACAAGTATACTGGAACATATGATATTCATTTCCCCTTGTACGCGAGTCACAAATCGGGCAGAGTTTCAATCAAAGGAACATTCTGCCACGAACCGTTTCTACGGACAAAATAGTATTACTTGTACGAAATTGTAAAACTTGTATTGAAGGACACTTGACTTATCAAAACCACCCATTGTCTTTGGAATTATATAAACGTCAAAACTTGCATCCAAATAACATAAAATAGCAAATATTTCAGTCGGAGGCTAGGAGGCTTGCTCATTGTTACCTCAGACTGTCACTGGCTACAATTATTGATGGCTATGTATGACTCCCCCACACACACACACACACACAATTAGGCGATTTCTTTAACAATTATTACATTAAGTTCTTAAAATGATATATGAAGTGTGATTATCTTACATTTGAATATAATATGTATGACTTCATTCCAATATTTGAAAATCTATGGCAACATTTAACTTCTCGGCCACTCTTCATATATGTCCTCTATTTGACCTTGAACTATTATAATGAATTAAATTGTCCCTGTGATATTTTTTATAGAGTAAATAAAAGTTGTATACCCAGATTGTTCTTTAATTTAGTTATATTAGAAAGAAAACTATAATAAATTTGAATCTCTTTCTTCCTACAAATATCCAAGAATACGAAAATACGAATTATATAGGCCTATATCTTGTGATCTTGAGAAAGGTCATTCCCATGAGTTGATTTTGGTAGACTTTTTTTTCCTGAAAGCTGACATGCTACCAAATAACATAAAGTATGAATTAATTCTGTTGCAATTTTCTTGAGGTTGGCCATTTATTTCGACCAAAATGACCAGACTAACAGTGGAAATCAATTTTTGAGCGTGTGGTGTGTATGCGGATGTGAAACCGATGATCGCGGATGCCAGCACAATATTCGCCTTGATTGACATCTCAGCACGTGGGTAACCCAACCATCATATTCCTTCCGCATCAAGGGGCGGTCGGGTAGCCTGGTGGTTTAAAGCATTCGCTCGTCACGCCGAAGACCCGGGTTCGATTCCCGACATGGGTACAATGTGTGAAGCCCATTTCTGGTGTACCCCGCCGTGATATTGCTGGAATATTGCTAAAAGTGGCAGAAAACCAAACTCACTCAATCTCTCCTTCCACATCAAGCACACACACCCTCCTGACATAAGTGACTGGTCATTTATTATAGGGCGGTGGGCCATTTTGTGTAACATTAATATTGTTTTTATTCAAATAACCTCATCACAGCATTACACATCTGCTAATACTCTTCAAGATACTTACAATGGACCAAGTTCCAAAACGGCATGCTGCACTGCTCTACTTTCCATTCTTGGTGGAAATCTATAAAAAAAATTATACTCTTGTAGACACACCAGAACTGTTCAATCCATACAAATACCTGTAATAACATTTATTCTCATATTTTGATAAAAATTCCGTTTTCTTTTTGTTTCAATAATAATTGAAAAAATGCAAGTTGAATAATGTTCAAATGTATGTAAGTATATCCTACAGAACAGTATCATCACTCTCACATCATTCCCCCCCCCCCCCCCCCCCCCTATCAAACGGACACACCGACTTACACCACATAGCCATAACAGGAGTCAGAGTACATCCTACAATACACTGCTAACATGTGAATCGCCGGAAAGGATTGTCTAAAACACAGCTTGATTACATAGTGACTGAGGGTGATAGTGGAAATAAATTTTTGATCACGTGAGCGTGTGGTGTGTATGCGGATATGAAACCTATGATCGCGGATGCCAACACGATATTCGCCTTGTTTGGTTGGCCACCATTATACGCTACCATTATATTGCTTCCACGTCAAGCACATACACCGTGACATAAGGGACTGGTCAATTATTATAGGGTGGTGGGTCATTTAATTTAACATTGTTTGTATTTGAATAACATCCTCACAGACTTACACATCTGCAAATACTCGTCGAACTACTCGGGGGCACGGGTGGCTCAGTCGTCTAAGGCGCCGCGATTAGCTGTACAGAGTTGCGTCCCTTGGGCACGCCAGGGAACCTATCAGCACCATACCTGTGATCGTGGGTTTCACCGAAGTGGTAAACGTCCGAGACCTGCATCACTTCGGGCTTTCCCTCCACATTAAGCTGACACGCCGTGATATAACTCGAATAATGGTAAAAGCGGCGTTAAACCCAACTCACTCACGCACTTGAAACTACTCACAATGGACCAAGTTCCAAAACGGCATGCTGAACTTCTCTACTTTCCGTCAAGGGAGGTAATCTAAAAATAATTTTCTTTTATGCTCTTGTTGACATACCCAGATTGTTCAATCCATACATGTACCGGAAATAATGTGTATACGTCCTTATATTTTGACTAATATTCCAAGTTTTTTTTTTTTTTTTTTTTTTTAATAATAAGTGAAAAAGATGTATATTAAATAATGTTTAAATTATAATTTTTGTATTTGAAAAAAATAGAACTGATTCGGTGAAAGAGTTCGGTAAATGTCACATTCTGAATGATAATCAAACCTTTATTTATAAGATATAGTTATAATAAACTATAATGATGTCTTTTAGACGTCGTTCACATATAGTTGCATGATTAGAAACGAAGGTTTTCTGACAAATATTAATCCAACTAAATAATGTATACCATATTCACACTGCCTTTAAACATACAACGGTTTTACCATTTGGCGAATGAGATTTCATATATTTTTATGTATTTAGGAAACAAAATTTAACTGCTTAAAAGATACATAACCATATTTTCCAACCAATACGATTGCACACAGTCTCAGTTTCCCCTTTTTTATTTCCTTTAAATCACTTAACACAGAACAATTTACCATGAAGGTTTTATTGATAAAAATCTACAGGAGCTTAGAGCCAATCATCGACGGGATGAGGAGGGGGCAGACGCTGCAGCAGTTCATTCAGGACACCATACAGCCGAGCAGTGAGATCCGCCGGGATTGTGATCGTGTTGTAGACCGGGTTACCAACTTCCTGCAGCGTCTCTCGCCACTCAGCGTCTCAATGGTCATTAGGGTAGGTGCATGGACATCTGGACATGTATATATTTTAATAGTTGGGGGAATAATGAAGGAGGGAGACCAACCGCTGATTACATACTGAATCGCTAAAGAAACTGGTAAAATATATTTTCAACGCCAGGGATAAATCAGTCTCGATTATCTGCGGAAACAGATTCCATTGGGCTTAACAGTTCGTTTGTTTGTTGTTTAACGCCGCACTCATAATATCCCAGCTATATGACGGCGGTCTGTATATAATCGAGTCTGGACCAGACAATCCGGTGATTGATAACATGAGCACCGATCCACGCAATTGGGATGTGATGACATGCATCAACCAAGTCAGCGACCTGACCTTCCGATCCCGTTAGTCGCCTCTTACGGCAAGCATAGTCGCCTTTTTACGGCAAGCATGGGTTGCTGAAAGACCTATTCTAACCCGGATCTTCACGAGGCTCCGAAAATCAGAACTGACACCAGTATTCGGTATAAGGTTCGGTAGCACCGGCCACTTACAAAATTTGCCCAAAACCAGCACAGCACATAAATACTCCTGCCAAACGACAGAGGTCCTGACAACAATCGACATTTGACCAGACATGCGGGGATAGTGGACCAGACAATCCAGTGACACGATAACGCGTGTAATAAATCGTAACTGTGTCGGTCCATCGTGACTTGGTGTTATAAATGCTAACGGTGAAATACGATCAGAACATGATCCATTCTCTATTATTTACAGACAAACCGCCGTGATATAACTTGAGTATTGCTGACATCACATTAAACACAACACAATCAGTTGCATGATAAAATAAATGTAATGACACCAGGTGTCTTGGCAATGAATGATATCAAATATCCTACCGACAGCGTTTGTTAGCTTTACGGGGCAGTCAGAAATATTCCACCTTGCACCGGTCGTGCACCGAGGTCCTGGCTACTAGTCTGATCACTTATTAATAACTAAGGGGGATCATACTATATGACATGACTTAACCGTGAAGATGCGGGGTAGAATAGGTCTTCAGCAACCCATGCTTGCCGTAAGAGGCGACTATTCTTGTCGTCATAGGCGACTAACAGGATCGGGTGGTCAGGCTCAGTGACTTGTCATGGTATCCCAAGATCGATGCTCATAATGTCAATCACCGGATTGTCTGGTCGATTATTTATAGACCACCGACCGCAATGCTACATGTAACTAGGGGCGGTCGGGTAGCCTAGTGGTTAAAGCGTTCGCTCGTCACGCCGAAGACCTGGGTTCGATTTCCGACATGGGTACAATGTGTGAAGCCAATTTCTGGTGTCCCCTGCCGTGATGTTGCTGGAATATTGCTAAAAGCGGCGTAAAACCCATTCACTCACTCACTCAGCAATGCTAACTCAAACTTCAATATAAAGCATTACAGATTATATTCTTTTAGGTGTATCTCGCATGTGATTAATCCTGCCTTTAGTTAGAACAATATCATTTATGATCATCAGAAGTCAAAAAGTCAGAACCCAGCACCAGAGAATATATATTGGTATTACTCCCAGGCGCTAATGCAGTTAACTACTTGCGATTTCACCCGACAGAAACTATCTAACTCAGGGTTCGTAAAACCAAACCAATTGCCCGCGGTTGTAATTTGATTGTGAGCTTCCCAATTCAACATGTACATCGGGTAGTTTCTATACCGTGCTGTATATTTTATAACGACATATTTCTTTCCCGCTCAACAGGGAGGTTCACTGGGAAGGAGCACGAATGTTCAAGGAATATCTGACGTCGATCTGGTCGTGTTCATCAATGATGTCAATTCGATACAACAACTGGAGGACAAAATGGAAAACATCCTGGACAAACTGGAAAACGCATTTGCAAGAAGTTGGAGTGAGTTTGCAGGGACCCTGCAGCGTGTGAACCGATCCGACCGCTGTCTGCAGTACAAGCTCAGCTGCAGTGACTCCGATCACGTCCAGGAGGTCGACATTCTGCCTGCATACAACGTCCTCGCAGGTGCAACCCTTCTTTGTGATATCTGCTACACTAACCAGCTTGGCTTTCCGGCAGAATGTTTTTTTGTATGACAGTATGAGTAGAAATAACATATATCCTCTTGTCAAAATTTTTAAAAACTTTAAGGGTTGTTTTCCTGTTTGTCTCAAATCGCCGAAGATGTGATGTATACATGTATCTCACCTTCGCAAAAGCCACAAAGATATATTAACTATTTCAGTTAAAGATGCTCGCGTGGTGTTCAACGAGATGAAGTCCAAGACAGACAGACAAAGAAGATTCTACTCACCATGCTTCATCACGGAACAATTGAACTTGGTCAAGTCAGCGACCATCAAAGTCAAAAACCTGGTGCGACTTGTGAAATACTGGGCGAACGTAAGTAATATGTGAATAATAAGTACATTTTCACCCAGCTAGCTAAATCCAATGTAGTTCACGATATATTTGAAATTCTTTTTGTTGGTTTGGTATCTTACTTGTAGTGCAATATATGTGTAATAAAGTTTGATCTAGTCTTCCAAATAGTAAATGTCTCTGGTCTACCATACGAAGATTATCTCAGAGTGTGGCAACTCGTGTACCTAACATATCACTAGAACATTGGGTCGATCATTTTAAAGATGTGTTTGACAATCCAACGGATGAAGATACGGTTATCACCGACTCGACTATTAATGATATTCAGGATGATATGCCTTGCTTTATTCTGGACTCCCCCATTTCACAAGAGGAGGTGCTATGTGCTATTATCTCTTAGAAATTTAAAAAATCCGCAGGTGATGACCGCCTCATTACAGTGCTGTTTAATAAGTTGTTTGATAGTGCCCACTTTCCTGAATCTTGGTCTTTGGGAATTATTGTTCCGAGGAGACATCCATCCATTGACAACTATGGTCAATACTACTCAACATAGGTGTTTCTGGCACAATGATAAAAGCTATTCATAGCCTATTTTTACAGCTGTTAAGGCTAGTGTTAAATTTAAACATTCATTTTCTGAAATATTTCAGTGTCCAAGAGGAGTACGCCAGGGTTGTGTGTTAAGCCCCCTTCTATTCTCGATGTTCATTAACGAACAAGCTGCTGAAGTTGAACAGAATTCTGGACCAGGAATACAACTTCATCCTGATATTACAGAGATATTCCTGTTATTTTTTGCAGACGATATTATACAAATCGCAGATACCATAGGCAGATTGAAGCGTGCTGGTGTTCTAGAAAAATATTATGATTATAATGTAGACGTTAGTTTGGATAAAACTAAGATCGTTGTTTTTAAGAAAGGTGGAGTGTTGTCAAGAAAAGAGATTTGGTACTATAAAGGTATAAAGTTGGAGTATGTATCTTCCTACAACTGGCTGGGCGTTACTTTTACGAGAAGCCTGTCCTGGTCAAGTCATTTTTCTAATGCTGGTTTACAGGGCAAAAAAGCAATGTTTAGAAATTCAAAGTCATTGATAAAATTACATCCTCTTCGACATGACTTATATTTTAAAATATTTGATTTAAAAATAGTCCCAATTTTGCTCTGTGGTTCCGACCAGAATGCTGAAATAGAAACCATACATATATTGGCATGCAAGCGCTTTCTAAGTGTCAAATCGTCAACACCCAACAACATGGTTCGAGGTGAATGTGGGCGTTATCCATTATATCTGTATTCATACAAAAGAGTTATTGGTTATTGGATAAGGTTATTGAGTCTGTCCGATTGTAGCTTTCCATAGAAATGTTATTAAATGATGCTTCAGGCAGAAAGTAATGGTGAAATTAAATGCGTCTCAAAATGTAAATATATATTGTTCATTTTGGGTTTTGGCTCTGTATGGGAAAAGTGTATTAGTCATCCTCATTCGTTTTCGTCAGAATTTATGTCGCGTCCGACATGTAGTTATGAACAGGATTGAAACTGGGAGATACGCTTACATCCCCCCGTAACAGAAGACTATGTTGTGTTTGTAATGCTGGGTAGGTGGAGGACGAGCAACTTTTTTTGTTAGTTTGCCCTGGTTATAACAAGTTACGGCTGGATCACTTGCCACAGAAATATCCGACCAAACAAAAATGTAATATCATTATGTCTACAACTGATTGTAAAGTAATTAAACGTCCAGCTATCTATATCTATCAAGCGATGTCATAAGTCGAGTACATTATTCTAAGAACAATAAGATCTGTGTACATCACGTCAATTGTAATACAAATGTAACTATGGGCCGATGGCCTACACTTACGAAATAAACCGAATTGAATTGAGTTGAGAACCCGTGAAGATCCGCGTAGAGAATACGTCTTCAACAACCCATGCTTGCAGTAAGAGGCGACTAACGGGATCGGGTGGTCAGGCTCGCTGATGTTGTTGATGCATGTCATCTTATCCCAATTGCGTAGATTGATGTTCATGATATCATTCTCTGAATTGTCTGGTCCAGACTCGATTATTTACAGACCGTCCTCATATAGCTGGAATATTGCTTAGTGCGGCGTTAAACAACAAACAAACAAACAAAGACAACAAGGAGATGTGTACGTGCTTCTGTCAACTAAGGCTTCTCATACACGAACAGTCAACTCCGGTGATAAATGAAGAGTACCCGCGGGGTTTGCCTCATATGAAGAATTCACTGATAAATGTTATCAAAATAGTACTGTCACGGTGCTGAACTAACGCTTACGCTACCTACGCTTAAGTAACGCTTCACCCACAGGAACCGACTCCTATTGTCAAAAAGGTTTGAAAATGACACTAAACAACAAATCAAGCTAGAGAGAGAGAGAGAGAGAGAGAGAGAGAGAGAGAGAGAGAGAGAGAGAGAGAGAGAGAGATTTCGCACACGGTCCTGCCAGGCCATTAAGTAGTTGTGGAATTTGGAATTTTGAAGAATGCCGTGCTAAATCAAGCTAAAGCTTTAAGCATTAAGGCCGGTGCCATAAATGCGATGTTACGAATTTGCGTATAAACTTACATGAGTAATAAAACTTCATGAGTAATAATACTAAAATAATGTCGTGCAGTTTTTTGTACTTTAAAAACATGTGTTATACACAATAAAAGCAGAAGGCGTTATTTAGTTACCCCCCAAAAGGTGACAAAAAGCCCAAGGGGAATTACAAATAAATACAAATAGGCCATGTTAATGTCATGTTAATTAACCATAGAACTTTGTACATTGGCTTCAAGTAACATATCTTTTTTCTTATATCTCTTTGAACATGAGTATGCATATTAACTAAACCTTTTGGACCTTTCAATGATATCTTTCACCTTTCACTGTGCAGAGAGAAGTGAATAGACCCAACGACAAAATTCTGAAGTCATTCTTCCTCGAGATAGTAGTTATCTCCCTTTGGAAGAATCGTGGATCCCCGTCTGACTTCAACACCAATGATTGGTTCAAGGAGGTCATGACCCAGCTGGCCGATCTGACGTCACTGCGGATACTCTGGCCTGACAGATACACCGTGTCATCGTACTATGACATTAGCATGACGTATGCATCTTGTGACCTGTTTGAATATATTTATGTATATCGTTTGACCTTTATCCAAGCGTGCTACATGCCATTCCTTATGACACGAAGCATCAGTATCGAGGACTTGCTTAATCTAACTTATAAGGACACAGTTACCTGCGTGATTGTTTAACATTTATATTGTGCCAAACTGATTTTGTCTATCTGTCTTAATACAAGCGACAAAACTCCTTCCATAGTCATACGAAATCTCTGATAATTATAGTACACAGATCAACAATTCCCCGAGAAAGGAGTTAAGAAATACAACTGGTTGTTGTTTGTTTTTCAGACCAAACCCGGTTGCACTGGACCCAGCTAACCCCTACAGCAACCAAGCGCCTCAGAGGCAGCATGACCACGTGATGACATGCGCGAAGAAAGTTCTGCGCAGACTAGAGGCGTCTAGAAGTGGGCGTTAGACAGAACCCGTGCTGACACCATTCTGTCTTGATAGAATTGATTAGTTTCTTTTATCATAGTGAGGGAAGTTTTTAGCTTGATCACAAACAAGTACATCAAACTGATGTTTGGTTTAGACACAGGAGTCTGTATCTAAAAATAGACGCCCTCATGCATATTCATGACCATCTCCACACGCGACCCCGATGAATATGCATGAGGGCGTCTATTTTTAGATACAGACTCCTGTGGTCATGAATATGCATGAGGGCGTCTATTTTTAGATACAGACTCCTGTGGTTTAGATATTCCCTTATAGACACTTTTGATTTTTCCGCATATATAAATGTATTCGGATAGTTGATGTCATATTCATATAAGTGCTGTGTAGACAGTTGATCTGGCACATTATCTTACTGCGGTATATAGTTGTTGTTTGCATCACTGTACTTGTTAGTTTAAAACATCATTTTCCCTGTTACAGATTGGTGAATTAAGCCATTAACAAACTTGTTGATAGAATGTAATACCTTTTGCATTCCTGTGATTCCTAAGGGCTGATTGGTTGAAACATCACCTAATGACGTCGCATATTGCTTACGTTACGTAATCAGAACATGTTGACTTTGGTGGATATTTATTTAGTAGATTAGACCAGATATGATTTTCTTTGCTTTTCTTTTAGAAACGTGAAGGAGTAACTTACTCTAAATTTGAGAGGATCAGTCTGTTGAAGTTTGGGTCAAAGCGTTCAGAGATCCGGGAATGCTTAGCCAAAGGTATATCATATTTATCTAAATGGTCGGTTAGTGGGACAAAAACGGAAACTCTTTGAAATATCTGACCGAACAAGGACACGAAAGCGGACATGCAGTTCCTTAGCAAGGGATGGTGTTCTCTGTGTAAAGAAAAATCTGATGGGAAAAACAGATAACTTGCCTTTACAAACGCATTAGAAGGGACATTTCAGAATGAAACCCATTCGTCACCACTCGCCCCTTTCCGTAACCTGCAAGAAGACTCGTCCCCCTATCGATGAATGTTATGTGCGAAAATACGACAAACCAATCAGAATGCGCGTATGATTTCAAGTTCTTCGTCAAAGAATCCTACAGAAATAATTTTTGATTTTACATATGTCTTGCATCTAAAAATATACCCAAGACACAGTTAAATGTGTTCAATCATACTGTATAATTCCGCATGTCCCGATGTGCTTTAAATTGCATGTGAAATATATATATAATATATGCATTGGGGAAATGAACCATTAGCAACGAGTTGACAATTGTTTTAGGTATGCCCGTTTGCGCTAAGACGGAACCCGGCCGCAAAAATGGCCATGAGAGGGACACGAGTCGCTATTTGGCTTGTCCCGGAATAACACGAGTTGGTCACGAATGAATGAAACCGTGTTACGAGACTAAAGCAGCAGCATGCAGGATGCTCACAAGGAGCATCATTTATTTCGATTATGACCATTGGAATATCGATACTAATGATAAGAATAATGTCACTATGATAAGGGCAGGTGGGGTGGCCGAGTAGTAACGCGTTCGCTCGTCACGCCGAAGGCCCGGGTTCGATTCCCGACATGGGTACAATGTGTGAAGCCATTTTCTGGTGTCCCCAGCCGTGATATTGCTGAAATATTGCTAAAAGCAGCGTAAAACATCCTCACTCACGTTGGTTTAATTTGCCAAAGCGTATAGACACGAATAGACCGTTTTGTTTGCATCGTGTCAAATGTTGTGCACATCTTCTCTGCTCCTTATAAACATGTAGTCGCTTTGTCATTGTTGTGTCTTATATGTTTAACATACCAGGATATTATATCATAATAATATCATATACACAATATGTAAATCAGTAACCTGTTTTATGGGATATCACGTATGACATTACACTAATTGTGTCCTTTGCGACATATATGGATGTTTCATACGATTTTCAGACATATATACAGTAAATATATGGGTTTTTGGGGGTTTGGTTTGTGTGTTTAGCGCCGCACTCAGCAATATTCCAGCTATATGACGGCGGTCTGTAAATAATCGAGTCTGGACCAGACAATCCAGTGATTAATATCTTGCGCATCGATCCACGCAATTGGGATCGATGACATGTATCAACCAAGTCAGCGAGCCTGACCTCCCGATCCCGTTAGTCGCCTTTTACGACAAGCATATTCGCCTTTTACGGCAAGCATGGGTTGCTGAAGACCTATTCTACCCCGGAAAGTAAATATATGGAGTGGGGATACAACCACACACACTGTGTCATCCATTCCCTGGCATTCATGCTCCATAATAGTCGATGTATAATATCAGTTTGTAAATACAACACAATATAGACCGTGTGGCTGAAGGTTTTTCCTTTGCTTGAGATAAGGATGCACCATAAAATCGGCAACAGTCCGGACTAGTACAAACAGCCACACACACAATATAAGTGTAACAATCTTGAACGCGACGTTAAACCCCATTTCACCTCGCCACACCTAAAAAGGGAACCATTACATCATGTCCATTTTGGTCACTGCCGCCGCGAAAACAGCAGCAATAATGTTGACGCAGTTGGTAGGTTGTCTCCCTTTAATCGTTAGTCATCCAGAAAACATAACATGTTAGTCATGCAGGGCCTCATTTATACTTTCGATGAGTATACATGAAATTTTGTCTTTTAAATATACATATGAAACGTAGATACAGTGTTACTGTTTTGTAACGAGTTGTTTATGCAGGATCCAACAAACCTAATACATTGTAGAAATGTAAATACCGGAAATTGAATTTTACATCAAAATGTCCGCGTCGGGGAAAACATCGTAGGTAAGCCTATCCTTATCGTGATGTATATTCAGACTGTTATATTAATGCTCAAATGTCAGTTTTGGGTATATTACTTACCGGCACGTGGAAGGCACGTTTCACGTCACGTGATCTTTGGCCTGTCGGGAAAGCGATGGAGGGAGCTGACAGTCTACAGTGTAGCTCTGCCACTCGGCGGACACATCTGAAGGCTGTTGCTTTCCTGACACAAAGCGAATGAGCACCTAATAGGTGAAATATTTAGGGTCAATGATTAAATCAACCATGAAAAAATGGGAGGCCAACGAAATCTATGTCTTTCAAAGAGTTGTTCGTCATTGTACAAATCTAGCGAGTTGTAGCGGTCTCGGAATGTCCGCTGGTTGGTATTTTTTCCTTTCTAGCCCCATGGCGACGTATGAGGCGAACAACCTCCGCCATCTTTCTTGCGACAAATTTTGTCTTAAGTCAACTCAGGAGCAGTCTTAGGACATAAGATCAAAGTTTGTCTTAGACTTATGATATTCTCATAGACTGAGCTTCGTTATCCCCGATTTAAGACTAAATTGGTCTGAAGTCTACATCTTAAGAGTTAAGACAAAATAGAGTCTTAAGTTAGTTTCATGATCCCTGGTGTCACCACTGATTTTCAGTGTTTCATTCATATAATTTCCCCAACTATTTTGCCTCTTTCGCCCGATAGATTCTGTTTTGGTGTGGAATTGAGACTGATTATTCTCTAGCATTAACGTCGTAATTTTGATGTTCTGTAAAATCGTTTGTTTGCACGTCGTAGGAAACACTTGACACTTCATGGAAGTATAGTTAAGTCATGTTGAATAGCTCCTCCCGTACACACATACACACTTATGCCTGCAGAATCGTAAACCAAAACAATGTATTCAATTTATCTGTGTATATTATTAATTACACCAATGAAAAATAACGTTAGGGGATCGGTTATCCCAGCTGTCTGAACAGCCACAGTTCATTGAGTTGCGTCCCTTAGTTGTGCCAGACACCTATGATTATGAATCCCAAATTCGCCTTGATTATGTTTTAAGGTGTACCAGTAATACTTGTGTTCGTGGGTTTCTCCTTATTTGTTAACGTCACCTGGAAACATAATCGGGGCGAACCGGGATTCGAACCCACAATCATAGGTTCCTGGTGTGCCAGAGGGACGCAACTCTGCATAGCGAATCGCGGCGCCTTAGTGTGAGTGAGTTGCCTCCTGCTCGTGGTATAACACCTAACGCGGGACACATAAAACCCCATGTACCCCGTGTGATCCTGCTACAACGAATTTATCTTACCGAAATATTTTAATATGACCTTGTATAAGAATTCAAACAAATTCAGAATTGATAGAAAACAGCTGTTCAAATGAGCTGAGGTTAGCTTGCGCTCTGTTGCGTGACTTCCAATGACTCGGAAAAAGCGTGCGGCTTTTTGCTTTGATGTTGGGTATAAGGGATCTATTCTGCCTCACAGACATACACGTGCAGCCTGATTTGCTCGTGGCGGGGTATAAGAGATTTATTCCCCCCGCTGAAAAATGTTGTCCCCTCGAAGGCGGGTTAGACAGTATTTTATCAAGATCACGTAGACCAATCAGAACTCATCATTCTGACATGGAGGTATGACAATACCATTCATATCCCCCGTAATTTGGGTGATGTAAATTCCTTATTCCGGGGGCATGTTAATCATAGCAATTGTATTATTGGTATAAAATACCATTCAGGTACTATGTTAATGCAGACACACGTTGGACTGTTACACTAGTGTTGCGAGGGGTTTATGGGATCATCGTCCCAAACTGGCTTCTACGGGAGACAAAGCTTGGATGACATCAAGCCATATCTCCTAGGGAAAAACGCTACAATGCATAAGACTGCTTTACAGACCATTGTGATGTCATCGTTAAATAACGTCACAATCAAATGACCTCTCTAGTCTCTCTGCCACTGCGGACTGTTAGGTTACCTTTTACACTCAAGACACTGGTTATTGCTGTTTGCAAAGTTAACTGAAAACAGGAAAAGAAACAAGCCTCGAAGTTTTTAGCTTGGTGTTGATACATTATAATAAAAAAAACCCGACAAAACCCTTTCCATATTCATAAGACTATATCATGAGACACATGGCTTAGATTACCTACACATAAGGAATGCCCTGCATAGTTCAACATGACGATGGCGACTTCCTAGTTTCACCCAGGGGGCCCATACAGTCGACCTCTATATCTTTGTATTGTCTCCCTGATTCAACACACTGCTTGGGGAGTTGTCTTCGAAAGTAGGGGGGGTAACTCTGTATTAAATATTCTTTGAGATGGGACTGGGATTATTTTGAAAAAAAAAAATAATCTGTTCCCTATATTTCTCGAAAAATGTCTGACTAAAAATATGCTCTGTCTAAAATATCCCCAACTTGGCTCAACCTGTATGTGTTGTCTTATAATGCACGTTTATGCGCTAAACTAAACTAAGCGGCAAAGGAAAGTATGGGTTGGCAATTTGTAATTTTCCTTAAAACAGCGATAACTTGTGGAAAGTGGGTATTGGGAATATGGCTCGGCGGGGGGAGGTGTCATGGTGTGGCGCGGTATTTGTGGAGATCAGGAGCCTGATTTGGTGATTATACGGGGACACCTGAACGCTGTGCAGTACAGAGACCAAGTGTTGCAGCCAGTTGTGCTTCCGTTCTTACAAAACCAACAGCGGTGGGCATTGTATCAACACGACAATGCCAGGCCCCATACTGCAAGACTGACTCGGAAGTTTCTAAACCAGCAGAACAAGCTTATTCTGTAATCTGTCATGTTCGAACAGATGACATTTGAAGCAGTTTACAACACACAATGCGACGCGGCTTTCGCTGGGAAATCCCGTTCTAAATATAGTTTTCAAAGAAATGGAACATGATGCATTTCTGCGAACCGTAAGACGATCAATAGATTACAGATCCTTGGACAGCCAACGGTCCTCGTAACAAAATTGTGAGTACCTTCAGGGAATAGTCGTGTAATAGTCAGTAATCGTGATACGTGATAATGTGCTGGGACAGTGATGTTTTATACGTCCAGTATACATGTACAATTACACATACATGTAACTCGCCCACGTGATGTCTGTCGGCGTGTACATGTTGCAAGTTCGCTGGGAAAGCACTCCGCCGTGAGAGCTCTAGGTTACACACAACCAAATGTTTTCCCATAGACTTCTATAGTAACGTAAATTTTTTTTAAAAATAACTAAGCATTCAACAGCTATTACCTGTACGTGTGTGCACAGTTTGGCCTTAGAGCAGCAATAAAAAAATAAAAAATGACTAGCTTAGCCAGCTCCTTTTCCGAGTACCGGAAGTTTGACCTTGATTTCGTACCTGGACTTTGGTCGAGCTTTAGTTGAATTATTCATAGTGCTCCGTTCAGTAGAAGGGTTGTTTCAGGGTCCAGGAGAAAATGATAGAAATAGATTTTAACATAAATGGCGACGAATTTGGGAGAAAATGGACCCAAAGATTGAAGAAAATACGCAACACAAATCAGTAGTGATTTAGTTTATTTGTTAACTTAAAGCTATTCTGCACTGATATGTTTATGATGTAGTCACATGGTCTCGTCTTCCTCCAGGTTCCAGTAACTCTACGTAAGGGGCGACTAACGGGATCGTAAGACTAACGGGATCGTAAGACTAACGGGATCGTAAGACCAACGGGATCGTAAGACTAACGGGATCCTAAGATTAACGGGATCCTAAGACTAACGGGATCCTAAGACTAACGGGATCGGGTGGTCAGGCTCGCTGACTTGGTTGATGTATGTCATCGTATCCCAAATGGCGTGGATCGATGCTAATGATGTCAATCCCTGGTTTGTCTGGTCCAAACTCGTTTATTTACAGACCGCCGTCATGTAGCTGGAATATTGCTGAGTTCGGCGTAAACACCAAAACAAACAAACAAACAAACAAACACAGTAACTCCAGGTCCACATACTCTCTAACATTTTGAGCCATTTTCTCCAAATGGCCAGGGACCATTTTCACTATAACCCGTGGTTATACGTCATACGCTCCCGGGAGGCGTTGCCTTAGTATCAGCTCACACAAGCAGGTGTGACGTAACTGACATCACGGACATAATCCAGCTTATCTAATCTTGTGGGACTGTCATAGCTTATGTATCCATCTACAAATAACACTTTGATACTTATGAAAACTTAGAAGGGGCGTTGTCCTTCTTAATAGTGTTAAAATTAACCGGTACAAAGTGCGATTGAACCTGCCAACTTCGATATCAGAATGTGTTATACAGGCCAAGGCTTCCCATCTGCAGCATAGTTCACATGTTGACACACTCTTGACTGTTTTCTGTTTGATCAGGGGCGGTCGGGTAGCCTAATGGTTAAAGCGTTCGCTCGTCATGCCGAATACCCGGGTTCGATTCCCCACATGGGTACAGCATGTGAAGCCCATTTCTTGTGTCCCCCGCCGTGGTATTGCTGGAATATTGCTATAGGCGCCGTAAAATCATAATCACTCACTCATGTTTGATCATGGTATTAAATCCTTCAGGATTCAGTCTATCCTTTTCAAGAGTTGTGCATATTGATACAATTCTATGTGATTACTAAATTCTGGATCGCCTGGTCAGATACCGCACACAGCAATATGTGGGAGGTCTTGAACGATTTAATTGCATACGCAGAACATATCTTGATACATATAGCCAGGTCAACAATCATGCAATTGTGTGTTGCCCAAACAGGTAGTGAAACAGATATGCCAAGGTATAGGAAACTACTTTGATGCACTGGGGACAATTGATGACTATAACACATTAATTGCCAACTAATAAAAGTGAAATATTATATCAAAATATATAACCTTACGATCTATTCATTTTGTAATTACAAGATTTAGACTAAGCTATTTCAATTTCAGACAATCAAATCACAGCTGGCCTAATTAATACGTATACTTCTGCAAATAAATACTAAATCATACACACAAACACTGACATTGTTAATAAACGCAAGGCGAGGTTTGGTCAAGTTCAGCTTGTATGCATAGGATTAAGAGCCATAATACTAAGAGTGATTGAATGAGTGCGTTTGAGTTTACGCCGCACTTAGCAATATTCCAGCAATATCACGACGGGGGACACCAGGAATGGGCTTCACACATTTGTACCCATGTCGGGAATCGAACCCGGGTCTTCGGCGTGACGAGCGAACGCTTTAACCACTAGGCTTCCAGGCCTCGCCCATAATACTTAGAGCACACTCGTGCGTCTGTACAGGGAGAACTAAGTATGTGCTGAAAGGGTCGTCCGTTATCTGAAGTTTGATGTATTAAGTGTATAAACATTGCAAAAATAGAATTGTGAAATATGTTCGTAATTTTCCAAGCTGTCTGAGCGTCTTAACGTTAAAGAGGGCAGCATGAGGATTGAGAATTGTTTAACGCCGCTTTGAATACTAGTAGTATTTCACAGCTTGTTCACTTGAAGCCCGACGCACTGGTGATGCAGGTCTTAGACATAACTATTTTGGTGAAACCCACGAGCATGGGTATGCTGGTATGTTGCTGACAATTCTAGACCATAATCAGGACTAGTAGTAGGCGATACTAGGGGGCGCAAATCTGCAAAGCAAAAAGCGACTGGACAAACTGAGCCTCCCTCGTTGCTTTGAACAGTTGTTGGAGATTTCATTAATGAAATAGAATTACAATTAAAGCGTTTGTTTTATGCTATCAAAGCACGTTGATTCATGAAAACGACACCGATTTATACGTATGCCTAGATTCGTTCACTTACAACATACTTACAACACATGAAATGGGTGATAACGAAACATCATCAATATGTCGCATTACCGCCTTGTCGCGGATTTTAACGACTTTTTACACCCTTTAGATAGGGCGACATCTTGCCCAGTATGAAATTGTCGCCCTTTTGGTAGAAATCCACAAATACTTCAAAGGGCAACAATGTGACAACAAAACAATGCAACAGCGTATAAGTATGTCGCTTTTTAAAATTAATTTTGACACGTTTTGTCGTTTTGCGACATAGCGACAATGTCCCTACACTGCAAACACGAAAACGTCGTTTTTTTCCGTATATGGTCATTCGACGGAAAAACGACGTTATTTGGACGTTTTCAAACCATCGTTTTTCCGTCCAAATAACGTCGTTTTTTGACATCGGAATTTACTGGGAGAGAACGATAGCGTTAAGCTCCTCCCTTTCTTGATTGACATTGTCAATCAAGCAACAGCGTCTACCGGTATTTCTACTTCTCAGATTTCATTGGTCAGTCCCCACGTGTTAGATTACAGGCCCGCGTTCGACGCTGCACTCGAAGCGCTTAGCGGAAGTACTGAAATCAATCGTTCTGCGCATGCGGATTACTTAATGCCTTGACCAAATTTTCCGTTCTGTGCATGCGCGATTTCGCATTTTGTTTCCTAGATTTAATGTCACCACTATTTGACAATGGTTCATAAACACAGTCACGTGAAGGTTCGGAATCGTAACGAGTAACTCCATTTAAATTGAAAAGGATTCCCAGTGATATGGGAGATTCCAAGATGAAACTATTCTATGGCCATCTAGGCTGTCACCCAAACCGATCTAAACGGGACCCGATAGCTTATTGTATGCTATATAGCCATATGGAAGTGGACAAGAACTATACATTGTATTCCGGCCGATTGTTCTTGCATTTACTTATAAGTCAGGAAAATGGACTTAAAAGGGGAGTTGTTGAATGTAATTATTTTAATTATTAAATGTTGCCTATACACTAATCTCGACGAACTTCTCATTGTTCTGTTTATGTCATCCTATATACTATTAGTATGTTACCGTTCTAAAGTCAACCTCTCACATAACATTATTTGTTCATAGTATCAAGTTTAATCAACAATATCAAGAGCAGCGATGTAAACCACTGAAACTCCCAAACACAAGGCTGTTATCAAGCGGTAGTGCAGACGTGATGCATCGTAAAAACTGTATCGTGATGTCTTCAGAAATTCAATTATACTACGAGATAGTACGGCTAACGCTGACTCACCGGTGGAACAAAGACAATATCGCTAATACAGATATAACGTATTTGAATGTTAATACTAAAGACAAACAATCATTATTTTTGCAGTGACGATATAACACGTATACACGTTTATTGTTAACTTTCATCAGTTTTGCTCTTCATTTTAATAACTTTGTTTTCACATATATATGTAGCAATACCCGACAAGCATGTCATACATAATTATGGGGCAGTTTTCAATCTTGTACTGACTTACTCTGGTGTTAATGAGCGAAGTTTATTGGCTTGTTTGTAAAACCCCGTTTTTCTTGTAATCCTATTATTACTTAGTTTAATTCTATCTAATGACACCCTGTTCTCTGGATCATGGCTCCGTGACTATCCATAACAATTAAGATGAACATTCAGTTCAAGTAAATGAATGAGTTTGTTTTGACGCTACAGTCAGTCAAAAAACCAATGCTGTGAGGTTTGATAACACACTTCTACCAGGTCGAACATCGTGGATCCTCATTTTCTGCTTAAAGAGAATCATAGTTCATATGCTAATCCATCTGCGAATACCCTCCAACTCAAGATGACCTTACTTGTTGCTAAATCTATCATCTATTCCCCTAATCTCACCCGCCCCCACCCCCCACACGCACGCACGCAAACGCGCACACACACACGCACGCAAACGCGCGCACGCACGCACGCACGCACGCACGCACGCACGCACGCACGCACGCACGCGCACACACACACACACACACACACACACACAAACAACTGACCTAAATAACTTGGACAGGAAATACTGCTGATATCCTCTGGTCAACTCAGCCGCGCCACCGCAGAATGTTCGTCCAACTCTGCAGGGGGCATTCTCAATTTCCGATATAAGTAAATGAATAAGTGTGTTTTACGCCACAATCAGTCAAAAACCAACG